GAAGCAAACTTGCATTATTTGTAAGTTGCCCAGTATGGGGTATTTTGTAATAGTAGCAAAGTTGGAGTGAGAAATGGACTAAGACACCCCTAAGTTTGTTCCCTGCACTAGTCAGACTCTCATCATAGGAGGGTGTTATGTAAGCATCATCAATCAAGTTCCTCCAGGAGCCACATCAGAGATCTACTGGATCCAGTCTTGAGGAGAGGAGGCCAGGTATAAGGAATGGATTTTTAAGATCTAAATTCTTGTAAATGTACAAAAAATTATCATGCACTTCCACACAAGTACAAAGACTGTGACATAATACTGCACTGGATGCTTGTGAACATTCACAAATTTCAATACAATGAAGGATTGATAAACTATTGAGATATGCAAAATACCAAACAAGGCAGAAAAACATGATGAGAAATCTTAATTTTTGACCGTATATTCCAGGGTGGCCTCAAAGTTGAGCCAAATACCTTACCATGCTATTAACTAGGATTAGAGTTGAACATCAGCACAAGTGGCAGGTATTTCATAGTTATTCTATGCTATCATTAATTTCAAACTGCCCCACCACTCTCACTCTGCCTTGGTTCTTCACCTCTTTCAGAATTCTACCCTGAGACTGATGTATAGCAGGAGGACCTGCAAATAGATTCTCCCTCTGCTCATAAAACCAGTCCAGCCCTGACCCTGTATTTGAGGGAAAGTAGCCCTGCTCTAGATTCCCAGCTGATCCCATTCAGTGATCATCACTGAATACAGACCATTCCACCTGGATTTGGGGCTGAGCTGAATTTTCCTTGTGACTATTTTAAAAGATGATTTGGGTAGAAAAGTTATACTAAGTGTGTGTGTAGACATGAGTGAGAGGAACAGCTGGTACATGTGACAGTTTCCTGACCAGGATTCTCTGTCATTGCAAGTGTCCAAAGTGAAGTACAGCTGGTGGAGTCTGGGGGAGACTTGGTGAAACCTGCAGGGTCCCTGAGTCTCTCCTGGGCAGTCTCTGGATTCATCTTCAGCAATATACTCATGAAATGGACTCAACGGGCTCCAGGGTAGGAGCTGGAGTGGGTTGCATTCAATAGAAACAAAACTAATAGTCACAGCACAGAATACAATGTATCTTATCACCTTCTCCAGAGACAATGACAAGAACATGCTGTATCTGCAAATAAGCAGCTAGAGAGTTGAGTATATAGCCATGTATTTCTGTTAAAGACACATTGCGGGTATATCAGTGTGAGCTCTACTTCACCCAGACCTCCCTGGAGGGATGCTCAGGACCAGCAGGTGGTGCTCAGGACACATGGAATTATAGTTCAGCCTCAGGAGCAGGGGCAGGCTCTCTACTGAAAAGAAAGGAGGGGATGAAGCAAGCTTTCCAGTGAAGTTCTAGCTTTAGGTGTTAGTGATGGATGTGTTTTTTCTGTATTCTTTTATTCAGTCAAATATTTATTTATTCATTTATGTACTTATGTATTTATTGATTCATCTATATATTTATATTTTTTGATGGCACAGAAGTCTTCAAAAAATTAGGAATTGCACTGGCCAGCTTGCTTCATTCCTGTTTTCTTTTCCCTGGCAGGCCTTGGGGATAAAAGGAATATAGAGGGGCAAAACCTCCAGTAGGAAGCAGCTATTGAAGTGGCTAATGTCATAGTGCACTGGCCTAGAAATGGAAGGTCCTGAGTTTGAGTTCTGAGTACACCTGAAGGTTTGCTTTTTTTCCTTTATCTTTCTTCCAGCTGGACTCTACAGGCTCACACCTGCTTACCTAAAGAATCAGGACAGAGATCAGGGGTATTTCACTGCCTATATTACATGGGAAAAACTGGCAAGTGTAGAACTCACACACACACACTCACACACATGCATGCACACACATAACACCTAAACCTGCACAACATACACAAACTTCAACACAACATGCATACACAAATACACTCACATACATGTATTTACAACACACTCCCACACCTCTCACAAAATATACCAAACTCATACAACATACACACATTAGACTCACACCCACAACATACTCATACACATACACACTCAAACATATGCACAATTCACACACACACACATATACTCACACACATACACCCACATACCCTAATACACATTCACACTAACACACATACACTCACACACATGCACACACTCACACATATACACTCTCTCACACACAGACATACACACTCACACACGCACTCACAAACACATACACTCACACACACATAACCAAACAAGATAAATACATATGCACATAAATAAATACACAAATATGCAAATGAGAAAAATACATAAATAAATGGATTTATAAATACTTGAATATCAAAGTAAACACATCACATAAATGAATGAAAAAATGCATAAATTAATACATAAATGAAGGAAAACATAAATACATACATAGGCCTATCAATAAATACATATATTTGTGAATAAATCCATTTATATATTTATTTATGTATCCATATGTGTAAGTATTTTTCCATTTATTTTGCTATTATAGCCACTTTTACTATGTTGATTGCCAGTCCATGAGCATGGGAGATCTTTCCATCTTTTGTAGAATTCCTACATCTGTTTCTTCAGTGGTTTGTAGTTCTTCTAATAGAGGTCATTTTTATCTTTGTTAAGTTTATTCCTAGGTATTTGATTTTTTTGGAGGCTATTGGAAATGAAATTGCTTTCCTATATTCTAAATTTTTTCATCATTTGTGTATAGAAAGGCTACTGATTTTTGTAAGATGATTTTTGTATCCTGTTACATTACTGAAGCTGTTTATTCAAGATTTGTACCATATTCACCTTCTTACACCTTTTCTGTATATCCTCCCCCTTTCCACTTGTACCAACCCTCCAGATTAGAATGGCAATGGGAACACTAGCTGTAGGGGACCTATGCATAGTGATGGAAATGGCATTGATTTCTTTGTTCTATATTTGAATAAAATTATTCTTGCATATAATCCTCAACTCTGGTGTTTTCCTTTGAAACTCTGACAGGTGCATCAGGTAGAAATAGATGAACTTCTGATTTTGGTGGTTGATGCTGTGATGATCATTGCTAGCTTCCCTTCAGTTGGAGCTCTGCTGTAGTATTGGTAATCAGTGAGTGATGCTCTGTTGCTAAAACTCCTCTCCTCATTTATGCTTTGTTTATTCTAGATATATTTTCTCCATGGAATTTAATGACTCTGAAAATCTAACATGTCCCTAAAAAAACATTTTTCAGCCGCATCAAAGAAGTGAATCAATGATGCACCTGCAGACACAGTACACTATTTATGCAATTATTGGAAAATAATTGAAATTATTTTTGATCTTTGTATGGTTATCTAAATTGGATTGAACATAGAATAAGTACTAGGGGTATCAGAAAAGATATTGTCAAAGTAAGATATGAAATAAAATTACTATAAAAATCTTCACAAGAGACTTATCAATTGTCAGTTTCAAACAGTGTACTCCAAAAACCATATGATGTGAGTAAAAAATGTAGATCACTTGTAATGTACCATTTACCAAAGCAATAAAGGAAAAGACAACTTTAAGTTAATTAAATGGACAACACAAGCAGCTACCTGGAAAACAATTGGCATTAAACACAGGTACTGCTATAGAAAAATCCTCCTTTCACTTTTGTCTCCCTAAAAGATAGAACAAACACATAAGGATTCACATCTTGTATGTAGCCAATCTAGACACAAAATCTATTGAAAAGGATTTTTGGTATACTGTCGAAACTCTACTTTATGAGCCAGAAATTCATGGAAAATGGTGCTTATTTTGGTGGCTTGGCACCATCCTCCAGGGTCATTTGAAAACACAAAAATAATGAAGTTTGAGGGAAAAAATCTGTGATTGAAAACAGCTGTATTGAACAGGGCTTTTTAAAAAAATTCATAACTTGCATAAGGGATCACCTTTAAATTTAACTAAATTTCTCCATCCTTATCAGTGTATGCATGTGAAGCAGTATTTCAGGAAAAGAACGTTAAACTATTGTTAAGATTCATCATCCCCTTGTTAATTAGATGTATTAAAAATATCATTAATGTAAGTTTACAGAATGACAATATTTCTGATGCTATTTGTCATCTCCATATTACCCGGTATTGGAAGGTGCCATTGTTTGAAAATCATGAAGTCAAAGGAACGTAATGGATTTCCCTTTCACACTATAACAAATACTTCTCTGACTTAACTAAAGCTATTTTGAGATAATACTTTGGGTTAATTATCCTCTTTATGTTGAGTTGAATATTCTAATATACTCTATGCAACTTCGTGTCCTTCTCATCTTAATTTATTGCTTTGCATTCAGTAACAGTCACTTAAAATACTTGTCACACTACGTTACCTGGTGTGTATCTGGGAGGGTATCATTAGCCTTGTCTATGAGGAGATTTCTGTCTCTAGGACATGCTGAGAGGGCTGTGGAAACCTCCAAGACAGCACTTCTTGTTCACAGATAGTAGGGAAATGCTTACAGCATATTGAAGGTTGTAGTAAATATTATTGAAAATATATTAGCACACACTTGTTACTATTAATGTCAGTCTGTTAAATAAGCCACATATGCTAGAGTTGTACTATATGTAGGTTTTGAATATTGAGGATATTTTTTCTTAAAACCGTGTGCATATTAGTGAAGCTCATTCAAGTTCTTGTTTGCATTAATTATCAGATATTATAATAACTACAGGGGAGCTTCAGATATTGTTAACTTCAGATATTATTAACTTCAGATACCTCATTTTATAAAGAGTCTGAATTTCAGAGAGATTTATTAAGTAGTCATACAGCCCAGGCCATATACCCAGTATTCTGAATCTTGTGTATTTCTGTTTTAATACATGAACACTTTTCTATATTTAAGAAACATTAAATTATATTCAAACAAAAATCCATGAGGAGAATAACTTTTACTAACTCTTCTTTAAAAACAAGTTATAAGTCAGTTTATTAAATTTAGTAAAATAGTTGACTTAGGCATCTGCAGTGGTGACTTCGACCTCCACTCCTGGCTCAGTACTGATGGAAGTAATCTGTTTAACAATTTCAGAAGGACTGTGCAAGTCAATGAGTTGCTCTGGATTCTCATCTGGAACTAATCCCACATCTTACAAATTTCTCCACAAGTTGTTATTCTTGTAGAGATTCTTAAAGTCTTGGTCAGTATGCAGACCAGTCCTTTCACTTTGAGGTTCTTCTCCTTGGCACCTCTGATCAAGTCAGCACCCACTTTCTCCAGAGACTTCACTTTAAGCCTGGTGGGGGTGATTCGAATTTGGTGAATTGCCACCTGTGGCTCCACAGGGGTTTTTCCAGTATCTTTAAAGGCCATGGCTAATGTGAAGCTTCCTGACCAACTTGTTCCTCCATGGGAGCAAACAGCAGTAAGTCAGGAGAAGGGGTGAACAGAACAAAGCTCCACTGCACCCACAACCACATCTCCCTCAAAAAGTTCTACTAATTCTTGAATGATTTCCTCAAATCTGTTTTGTTTTACCAGCCTAGAACCTCTTTCTACACAATCAGTTCCTTGGACAGTTATTAATTTATTGTCTGTCAAAACCAAATCTATACATCACTGATCATGTCAGGATTGGAGGTAGGCACTATTTTTCCTCAGCCTTCTGGCATACTTGCAAATTTAATCAGTACAGGATACTGAAAAGACTTTGAGGAAAGAAAGACCTTTTCTTTGTGGTCTGACACACTCGTCCTGGCTGAGTGCTGTAGATAGAACTACTCAGGGAGCAGCCTCTGCAGCATGGATGTCTTCTCCAGTGCCAGGCACTGCAGTACACATGACTTCCCTAGTACAATGTTCTTGCGGTTTGTAGAAATGAGCAGCTCAGGGCCAACAGATTAGCTCCTATGCTTGTTTTGTTGAGAAATTCTTCCTAAGAAGCACATTCTAGGGAAAAACTTTCCTTGATTCTCTGGGAAAAAGAATTTTAGCACGTTCCCACTGGAGCATGTCAGCTACCTTTCTGCCCTCCAACAAAAGCAGTGTCTTCTCTGACAAGTCCTCTCTCTTGCACATGCAGAGAAGTGGGACATTACTTGGGTGCCCACTTCTGCTACCAGGATAGTGTCTGCCAATTTTAACTGCCATTCACAAATTGTTTAAGCTTTATTTACTACTTACTTACCAGTCACTCACTAGTCCAATCCTTATTATAGTCAAGAATTCCTTATATAAACTTTTGTTCAATATTCTGTGTTATCTGTCTTCCCATTAGTCAGATACACTTCCCTTTACCAGGAGTTTTGTTCTCTACCTGCGTTTTCTTATCTAATTCATACTCATCTACCTGCTGAATATAGCACCAAATGTCACATTCTCAACAATGCATTCCAACAGCCATCCTGATGAGTTTGGATTTTCCTAATATTTGACTTCAATGTATGATATACATTTACATCACAGTAAATCTGCAGTTACAAATTCACATATCTCTATGATTATTTGATTAGTAAATATCTCTGCTATTCATTTCAGAATTCTGTGGCAGAAGGGTTAGTATTTCTTGTCTCTTCACACACACACACATGTGCGTGCACGCCTGCACACCCCAGCTCAAGGACTCAGACACATAAACACACTGTAAATATTATTGGAAGAATTAAACAATATTTTACTGAGGCTTTAGGATGAATGATAAACTATAGAGGGCAATTTAAAGATATGGGGAAGTTTCTAACCCCCTTTTGGAAAATCACTGAAGGTTTAATGACTAAGAATTCCAAAAAGAGTAAAACCAAATTATCAGAGTAAGTAAAATAAAGTTGTCTATGTAGAGTGTCCAATGAGGGATTATTCTTTTCCATGACCCATTCTTGTCTTGCTACATCTTCCATGGCAAACCCCACTCCCAAATTCTAAGGAAATTCTCCTGATCTCTTTGAATTTCACATGATTTTTCATTATCCTACTGCCAATACCTGAAATAATGTGCATGTTCTTCAGTATTCCAAAGCACATTTCAGCCTGCAAGCACATTAATGATAGTTTTTATTTGATTAATGAGAGGCTAATGAATAACCATATAGTACATGTCTGATTATTGTCAATTTAGCAATGACTTACTCTTTATCTTTGCCCTAGTTTTTCCTTATTTTCATTTCTCTCTGGTTTCAGTGCTAGTTTTCTTTTACTCTACAAACTGTTAAGATTCTGTTTGTGTTCCAGCTACTCTCATTTGTTCTCCCAAGATTTATTTATTAAAAAACAACTTATAAACCTTTCAGGTCTTAGTTTCCACAAACATTCAACAAAAATGTATTTAATGCCTGTTGCTTCTGATATTAGGATTTTTATGCTGATGAATATTATGCTGATTATTTTCAAAGCCTTGTAACATAGTAATTTAACATGTATTTTAATATCTCTTGTAGAAGCCAAGTATGAGTTAAACATTTTAAAATCAATGCATTCACATTTTATAATACAGATTCCAATATTTTAACTCAGTGAGGATTCCCAGAGTCATATTATGTGTAAGTCCACATAACTTCTGAGGGCTTAAAGCTCTTATACTCTCTTAAAGACCTTCTTGTAATATGCAAACATCTGTAGTAGGGTGAAAATAATTTACTGTTCTCCTTCCCTTAAAGAATCCATTGCATTATTCCTATTTTAAGTTAAGGCAAATACTTGCCAAAGCAAGTATTTATTTTGCTGCAGCCTCACATGAGCATTCTTTAAATCTCTGCTACAAATTGAAAAACTTGTGCCCATATTTTACCATGTTGTAAAATTTTCCCAGTAACCACAAGGTGTTGCTCTTGAATTTCTCTTATTGATTGATTTGGTGATTGTTTTATATCTTCTAATCATTTTTCTTTTATCATAGTGTGGGGAAAGTGATATGAAGTAAGGAACAAAGTGTAAATGAGCAGATTCATAAAAAGAAAGAGACATGCAGAATAAATCTGAGTCAGCAGACCACAAGAGAGTGGAAAATCATGGAGTGTGGCTGTGCAGTTGATCCAGTTTCTCTAAAGACAAAAATAAATGCCTTATTATTTTTCATAAGAACATGCTCTGGATCACATTATGGAATATTCATAAGAGCTGCCTCTCTCTTATTTATATTATACAATTTAACAAACCATTAGTCACAATTACTTGCAATCAAATTGAAATATATATATTGTAAAGATAGTATATTCACAACTGATAATATGATCACTAGGCAAAAGGAAAGAAATAAATGATGGAGTAATTTTTGAGGTGAGGGAGGAAAATGGACACTATAGAAAGGCTATTCAAGGTAAGAAAAGCAGCTTATGAGCATTTATATAACATTCAGTAACAGGGAATTAAAATTATAATGGCTGAAGCATGAAGTTCTAGATAAAAAGGAAAGATGTGAATAGAAATAAAGCTAGGAGTAACACTGTGCAAGGGATTTTAGTCCAGTTAACACAGATTGTTTTGAGGTTATTCACTTTTTATAAAGGCTTGTTTTCTGCCTAAATCTGTACTGGAGGAAGACCGTTTTGAAGCCCTCATAATGTAACAAGAGAGATCAGTTTGCCATCTATCAAAACATTTCAGGTTATGGATGAATTAGGCAGGGAGAACAGAAAACAATACCTGAAGAAGTTATAGTTTTCATGTCTTTTGGAAGTACATTATCTTGTTTTCATAATCCGTGTGCTCTTATCTTGAAATTTGCTCATATGCTGGATGAGTAATCTCTGCTACTTTTATGGGGTGACTTTCTTAGTGAACAGGTTTCTGCTGAAGATGTCTCTTAGTGTAGGTTTGTCATGCAATGTTGACTTTGCTTTTGCTGGGCCCCTTTCTGATTTCTCCCTCTGTCAGGAGTGGATAAGTAATTGGAGTTAGAGCCTGGAGAATGTACATGTCCTAGAAATGATACCCATGCTTCTCACTTGACAGAATCAAGAAGGGTGGTAGTCTCAAAATTTGCAAGTAAAGGGAATAAGATTGGGAAGAGATTCAGTCAACTAGTTAAGTTTAACTTTAGCTGTATTCCACCTTAGTGATAATGGACTAGGAAAATAGGACTAGGTTCACTTATATCAAGTAACCTGTTTGCCCTTTTCCCTTAGATGTCTGATAAAGACCTCCACCACACCTTGTCCAAAGTTGAAATCAAGAATCTTCATATTTATTTTCTTATTTCCCCAAATGAATATAGTATGTATAGAAACAGGAGATTCTATGCCTTGTTTACCATCATTTTATCTCTTCTGTATTTTACAAAAAACAATGTGTAATGCATGTAATAAATATTTAAAATAATGAAAGAGATAAGGTCTAAAGTAAATAAGTTTTTCACTTTCAGAATAGAAATAACTGCTTAAACTACATGTCTCAGTGATTCTTCTATATGTGAGGCCAAACGGACATTATCATGCTAAAATATTTTTTTTCTAGGAATACAAAAATCTAATCATGAAGTTAAGGATTGATGTTAGGAGATTGAAAAGACAAATAATGAACATATTGTACTGTGCTGGGTACTCTACATTCATGTGAAAATCTCATGTAGGTCTCCAAGAACACTTTGGATTAACGTAGACAAGTTTTAGAGAAAACATTAAAGCATGAATGTTTGCATATTTACTTATAGCATAGTAAAATCATATAATATGCAAATATGCAACGTGCAGCAGATTCAGTAAAACAGCTGTTATGTATTTCAGCAAAAATAAATGAGATAGTTTTTCTTGTAACAGTGTATTGGAATGCATTAGTCACTAAAATCTATGCCATAGCTGCTATATATGTATATGCATTACATAAGACCTGGGTTTGACTACCAATAAGAATAAAATTTACTGTTACAATTCCTGAAGTATACTTCCTTACAAGAAAATGTACCTGGCATTCATGTTCCAGTTAACATGACAGCCATAACAGATTTCAAAGTTGATAGCATAGCTGTATCTTGGGCTCAGTACTATTGCTTGTTATGTTAATGGAAGTCCATCCCTTTCTTTCAACCTGACTTTCTTGTACCTTATATATAATATCTTCTTCTCCAGATTTACTAAGACTTTTTGAAAAACAAAATTGTATATATTTAAGGTATACAATATGATGACTTGGTATACTTCTACACTGTAAAATGATTATCCCAATCATGCTAACATCCCCATCAAGCTGTAAACATTCCCTTACAGCTAACTTTGCTTGTTCTTGTGTGTGTGTGTCTGTACTTACCAGATTTTAGATTATTGGTATGCTGTCAAGCCCCAATTCCCTGATAGGCCAAGAAATGCCATTGATGTGCACTTTTCTTCTTGCTGTTTTCATTATGTCAATGGAAGCAGTATTTTTCAAGGAAAAGCAGTAAGGTA